GCTGGCCACACGATGTAACCAGCCACATAGAAAAACGCGTTTTTTTTAGTTAAGATGACCTAGATAGAAACCAGAATCATGGAGGAAAAAGATGGGAAGATCGGGCAGGCTTGCGAAAACCAACACCAAAAATACAAGTTGTAAATTTGCATTGTAATTCAGTTTTTTAGCATCCTCAAAGTAAAAAGAGAAAAAAAAGTTGCTTTAGTAACGATAGGTAGTTTCTTCTTTAATCATTTTTTAAAAAAACGTAAAAAGAAAAAAGAAAAGTCAAAGTTATTTGATTGATTAAAGCACTAAAACTAAAAATTCTTTTTCACTTAATAGTAAAAAGTGGAGTACTAATTTCCACAAATCAAAAGAAATTGCTTATTATCTAATCTAAATAACTATATAATGCACTTGTGTTCATAAAAAGACCATGTAATCATTAATGTGTGTACAATTCATGTAGGTGCGAGGTTGGATGAGTTTGGTGCATGTAAAGCTCACATTAACCACTTGTATTATTGGGATGTCAAAAATTTAGCCAACCCAAAATATTTACCTGAAACTGAACTGTTTTTGAACTGATTAGATTCGAGAATTTTTATCCGAATTTGATATGGAGTCTACGAACCCGAAGTTATCTTGAAACCAATTTCAACCGGTAAGTATGATCCAAACCCAACTTGAAATCGACTTATAGTTAATTCGAAACCAATAAGAGCGGATAATCCAAGATCCGAAATCGATTTGGCCAAAACCGAAAACTACCCGAAACCATTTAGACCCAAAAAATATCTCTTTTTACCCGAACTTTATTAACCCGATCTTTATTTATCTGATTTGAAACTTCCTATGTATCGATTAAAATCGACTCGAAACTACTCATGGTCTAATTAAACCCAACCTATTAATAATAACCTAAGCCAAAATTTTCCATGACCATAACTGATGAGTTGCTAATGAATAATTGAAGATCATTAATAGCCGGATAGACGATAAATGCAAAATGGTAAGAAAGACGTTTTACAATGACATGATAAACACCAAATAAGGCGATAAGTAATCATTTTCTTCAATGACTTGAGTTGTCAATCTTATACCAATTCTGAAAAGCCAACACAAAACTTCAATGAAACTCAAAAAAATTATACAGAGTAAATATGAATTGAATTCTCCAATAACAAAAATGACATCACCTATATGCTAATATAGCTGAAACTAAAATGACCCAACTTGAGATTGACCCGAATTCATATTTCACGACCCAAAAATCGAAACTAAAATAATTCTAACCGAAAATGAGCTAATAATTGAAGTAAGCCTACCCAAATTTTAACCGAAATTGAATTGATTTGAACCTAGATCTTATCGAATCCAAAATGACCTGATCCAAAATCTAATAAATCCATTTTGATCCAACTAAATACGATAAAATTCGAATCCGATTTCATATGAACTCGATTTGACTTGACCCGAATTTGACTTGACCCAAATTCGATTTGTACCCGACTATACTCAAACCCAACTTTAACCCAAATCTAAATAAACTCAACCTGATTTGGTTTGTTCTGTTAAGTTAAAATGATCTGTCATTACCCGACCCAAACACTCCGACCCGTCGTGGGTCAACCCAAACTCCATCTGGATACTCGATTTGATGTATAAAATGTATAGTAGTATTGTCTTGGATCATGAGGTAATCCTTCAATTTAAGTATATATAGTTAATTTACCATGAATAGGGGTGTTCGTGATGCGGTTTGGATCCCAAATCCCACCAAACCACAAAATTGTGATTTGTATTTTTTACAAACCGCACTTCTAACCAAACCGCACCGCAAAATGCAGTTTGGTGCGGTGTGGTTTGCGGTTTAACCATATTTTCTTAAAATTATAATTATTTTTATTAAAACAAAACTTTTATTTTATTTGAGATTAATAATTTATAATCAAATATTAAACTCTTATTTTTAACCTTTAAGTAGCTAATAGTCAAACATTAGCTCATATATTTTAGCTAATATATATTTTTTTAATAAACATGTAATATAATAACCGCAAACCACACCAAAGTGCGGTTTACTCTAAATTTTTTTTGGAAACCGCACCAAACCGCAAAACACGATTTGGTCATTTTCAAAAACCGTACCGCAATTTTCAAACCGCACCAAACCGTAAAATTGCGATTTGGTGCGGTCTAAATCGCACTCTGAATAGCCCTAATCATGAATAAAAATTTGTCGAAATGAAATTATAAATAAATTCATTTGAAATGAAATATTTCCTTTATCTCACTAAGGCACTATTCCCTTTTCTTTACGTAAGCTAAGCCATTAAACTCGGAGGCATTACATATTTGCTATTTACACATGATTTGACTTTTTTTTTTTTTTTTTTTTTTTGGGTGAAGATGATTTGATTTTATAAACCCGCAATCTCTAATGTATTCATACAATTGTATTGTTTACTTATTTATTTATTTATTTGTATTTTTTTTTTTACTAGATTTTATTGTTTACTTTGTTACACTAGCTAATTACCTATAATATGATATGATATATAGTACTAAGCATCTATTCCGGAGTACTGTATATCATATCATACTATAATATGATCTCACAAACTATTGGGTACGGCAGTGTGCACCCAATGTTTCGTGCGACACATATTAATATATTATTATTCCTCCTTTCTCCATTATTCTTCACTTTTCTTCTCTCTGAAAATTGTATAACCTTTCTCTTTCTTCTTTCTTTCACCTGAAAAACTCCAATGCATGTTCATTTAAATATGCAATTGGTGCAATGATTTATGAAGTTTAGGAGAGAGAAATAATGGCATCGGAAGATGTGAAGCAACGAGGCGAAATTGGCGGTGCGATATTGGTGGTAATTTGCGATTGGTGGTGCGATTGAATCTAAGGCTACTAATTTCTTCAAAAAAATTTAATTTTCATGTGTTTGTGGGCGTTTTATTCTCGATTTGTAGATGTTTTGTGCGTTTTTGGGTGGTTATGGTTGTTTAAGGTGGTTGAATTTGGTTATTTTATGTTGATGTTGGTGGTTAATTAAGGTTGTTTTGGGTGGCTAAGGTGATTTTCGGGTGGGCAAGGGGTTGTTTTCGGGAGTGGGCTGGTTGTTTTCGGGGTGGGATGGGTTTTTCGAGAGAGGGCTAGTTGTTTTTGCGGTGGGATGTTCGCTGCTGATGGCGGTTTGCTGCTGGCTGGGTGCTGCTGCTGTTGGTTGGGCAGGGGAGTGTGTTGCGGTTGCGACGGTGGTTATGATGGTCGAATTGGGAGATGTATATTACATGTTACTTTTTGAATTTGTGTTACTGTTTTTAAAAATTCTTGTATAATATATCTGATTTTTTGTTGGATGAAATTGTTAATTATGTGGATCAGCGAACAAAATACCAATATCAGCTAATAAAAGGAATATATCAGTCAATTGATGTCTGATATCAGTCAATATTAAGAACATATCAGACATTAATAAAATCGTATCAGCTAACAAAAGAAACACACCAGCCAAAAAAAAAGGAACATATCAGCCAACAAATGAAACATATCAACCAACAAAAGGAAAATATCATCCAACAAAAGATACATATCAGCCAACATTAGGAATATATAAGCCAACAAAATAAACATATCATCCAACAAAATGAAACATATAAGCCAACAAAAGGATAAAATCAACAAACAAAAGCAATATATAAGACAACCAAAAAAACATATCAGCTAACAAAAATGAAACATATAAGCCAATAAAATAAAGATATAAGCCAACTAAAGAAACATATCAGTCAACTGATGTCTGATAGCAGCCAACAAAAGGAACATATCAAATATTAAAAAAAAAAATTCAACCAACAAAAGGAATATATCAGTCAATACAAAAAACATATCAGCCAAGTCTGTCGCATCATAATTATGCGTACGACAGGCCGCGCCCACTACCTTCTCATATGATATACAGTACTACGCATCTACTCCGTAGATAGATAGGATAATTTTGTCATGTGAAAAAAAAAAAAAAAAAAAAAAAAACCTAAATGGTGATGGACATCAATTTAGACCACTTATACACTCTATTAATAAATTTCCATGTATTTACAATCTATCACCAACTATAAATTTGTTTCTTATCAAACCATAATATTATTAATTTCCAAAAAATATAATTTAAATTCATGCAATTATCTAAAACATTGATTATATATTGGGCCAATAATTTTCACTTTAGAAAAAAAATAGTTTATGATGAGACAAGTCCATATAATTACATGTACTAAGAGCAATAAGTTAGGGATTCAATAAGGGCTATCAGATTTCATCCCATCTTGTGTGTGGCTGACCACATCGTGTGACTACTTATAAAAGAACAAAGTAATCCCTATAACACTAACCAAGTAACCCCTGTAATACTGACTGAGTAACTCTTATAACACTGATCGAGTAACCCTATAACTTTGAAAAAGTAACCCCTTTAACGTTGACCAAGTAACCTCTATTACACTAACGAAATAACCCCTATAATGGCTGGCCACATGGTGTGGCCAGCCACATGTAAGAATTTATGATCGCCTTTTTATTTTATTGCGAAACTACTACCTTTCTTCTCTAAGTATTTTTTTTCTTACTCCATAATTTGAAACTGATTATAATGATTGTTGTCTCACAAATCATCAAATTAGAAATGCTAATGGTTATAGATTTATAATAAGCTCAAATAAGTAAAATTTAGATCAAATAAGTATAATTCAGATGAAAAGAACACCATCATATCATAACGCAAGTTCAGAGTAAAATAATTTTATCCAAAATTGGTGATCCCCAAAACCACATGTCTATGTTGGCATACTACTTTATTCCCTTCTTATCTTCTCCATAAGTGGCAAAGAAAATGAGATAACCCCACTCCCCTTCTCTCTGTCTTCCTCTTTCTCATTACCTTAACTTTATTTTCTTTCTCCCAAAAAAAAAAAAAAAAAAAAAAAAAAAAAAAAAAAAAAAAAAAACCACCTTTCCCCACCAATTATTTTCCTAATCCCAATACTCCTAGTGTTATTGTACTATCACTACCAAATTTAGCATCACTAGATCTACCGCGTTTTTTTCTACTTTTTTTTTTTTTTTGCCCTATTCACCTCTTTTCTTACTTACAACCCAAACATGGCACACCCTAATTCCAATTCTAGCACAAAATTAGAAGATGAATCAGAAGACGATAATCAAGAAATCGGGCAAAACCCGATTTCACTCGACTTAAACCTTTGTTTTAAGCCAAATAAGGAATCGAGTTACGAAAACAGCGGCGACGGTGACGATAAAATGACAGGGGAAGAGATTATACCACCAAATAACAATAGAGTCTTCTCGTGTAACTACTGTAGAAGGAAATTCTTTAGCTCACAGGCACTTGGTGGTCACCAAAATGCCCATAAGAGGGAGAGAACTATTGCGAAACGCGCTATGCGAATAGGTGCTTTGGCTGACAGACACGTTAGTTTAGCTTCTCTCCCTCTTCATGGGTCTTTGTCTTCGTCTCCTGGTTGCTCCTTCCCAAGTCGACCCTCAATAGACATTCAAGCTCATCACGGATCTATGATGATGATGATGCACCCGCATCTTCACCCGTCTACGGTCCCACATCAAAATCAGCAACCTCACTACAACGGTTATAGTCATCTTCTTCATCATTCCGAGCAGAGGTTGCCTGCTCATCACGCCGGAGGTGATGGTCCCGCCGCCAAGTTTGAAGGCCAAAATGGGTATTTACTTGGTGGTGTTCCCGTGTTCAGTGCGGTGCCGTTTTGGCCTGGAAGTTTCCGGCAGGTTGATGATGAGGCTGAAAGTTCTTCAGCTATTACTACTATTTCTAATAATAATAATAATAATAAAAATAGTGATACTACTATTACTACTACTAATAATAATATTAGTAGTAATAATTGTTATAATTATAGTTATAATCAGCTTGAATACCCAGATTCTTGTCCTGATCTTACATTGAGGCTTTGATGAAGCATAATTATAATTTTTATTATTATTATTATTATTATTATTATTTTGGGTTTTGTTCTTTCTTTTGATTATATTCTTCTTTTTTATGTTGGTTAGAATTTTTTTTAATGAGAATTATTAATTGTTTAGAATTTTGTACAGGAGATATGGCACAAATAATCATTATTTGTCAAATGATGACTCTTTTTGCAGTGTCTTGTGAGTTATGACCAATCTTAATTTGTATTGTTTGGGTTAGAAAACATGTACATATTGATCTATTTGGCGAATTATCCTATTTATAAAAGTTTTATTTGTATGGTTGTATTTGTGTATTCAACCTACACATCTCGGGCCGATACCCTATTGCAAAATGACAATTAAACCGGGTAGTAAGCGTATGTGCAACTTTAAGCACAATCGATCAATTATTGTTGATGGTTTGATTTAAAGGCGTTCAGTCATAATTAAGCTCACGCACAGTAGTTTAATATGAGTAACTCACTTCTGGATCTCCTTAATAAGTAATTTCAAGCTTATGATGTATGTTAACTGACTTCTGTTTCAAAAGTCAAAGTCAAGCTTATACTTAGTACATATATATTCATTGATTGTTGATTGTTGCTTGTTGCTTGTTGCTGTAGGTAGCCAATCACAAGTGTGAACTTGATGAATTGGATGTTTATACTATTGGATGCCATATGATATGTAAGTATACTTTTTTGTTTTTAATAAAATGTTTTTCTTTGATTTGTTTCATGTGAATTGCTGAATTTTGCTTTCAAACTAAAGATGTTTTTTAATATAATTTTTGAGCAACTAACTACTCTGTTTATAAATTATCCTTTTAAATGATCCTTTTGAGGAATGAGGACCATATTGAGTTATATATGTCAAATTAGGTATAGATAGTCATCATGGAGGGCCAGGTGATTCATGGAGGCTTTTCATTATTATTTCTTTTGGTATCCAAGATGGTTTTCCTAACATAGATAATGAATTCCGTTGTCTTTTGTTTGTCGTATTTGAAGTCTTGAGAGATTATTACAATATATATGAAATTTAATACTCATACTTCGATGATCTCTATACTTCATAGTTCAAAGCATAGTCATGTGGAATAATATTAATAGATTTGTTTTTAAATTTATTTTCCAAATATATAACTTTTAGTCATATGTAGCTTAAGATATTGTTACTACTCCACTATATTGCATTGAAATTGTACTTAAAAAAACGGGACCAAAAAAAAAAAAACAAAAAAAAGGCAGTATTGCTTTCATGTATATATGTTTCCTCAAAAAAAAAAAAAAAAAAAAAAAAAAATTGTTATTGGGTCCATTATATATAGGAGGATAAAATTTAGACTATCAAAAACAGATAGTGATAGAGCTACAATACATTAATTATAATACTAATTTGCATAAATATGTTTTATAATATTTTCTTTCTTTTATTTGCAATACTTCTTATTTCATGTTTGTCAATGTATAATTACAATCACAATTATCTTTAATTATCAATAAGTAAAAAATTATAAAAATTGTACTCTGTATATTATAAAAGCATAAATTGAGACGAATCTAACAAATTCCCATAGCCACAGGACTACGTTTTTCATCAACTATAAATCTGTAAATTAATCAATTAAACTAGTGTATGTGAATATTGTAAAAATCAAACCGTTACAAATAAATAAAAAAAAATAAAAAATAATAAAAAAAACGGGAAAAGTATATTTTAAAGATATCAAGATAGATAAGTTTCTGTAAAAGGAAATATTAAATGAATAATAGATTGCAAATTATGAGATTTTACTATTTCTTTTTCTTCTTTTTCCCTAAGGGGTGCTATTGTGATATAATCTGTAATGCCAACTGATTTATCATCCAATGTATAGCTTGATATCTCAAATCGAGCATATATATGTTATTTTTGTGTGATTTTCTTATGTTTCTACAAGTAGCATTTTTTTCTTAATATTTCTACTTAATTATCTAGTATCATGAATTTCGATATATCCATTAAACATGTATCCAAAATGATAAAAAAAAAGTTGTTTTGGGGTTTTTTTTTTTGCGAGATGTCCTACGGAAGAGTTACGTCACCAAGACTGGCTCCTCGTTCTTCTGTACCTGCAACAAACGGAAGCTCCGGTTGTTCGGAGTTTCGCCTCCGACGATCAAGTTAGTACGTGTTTGGAGAGTAAAATGCGAAAAGTAAGTAAATCTTCTCGGATCCAGAGATCAGGTGAATTTTCTGTTGTAAGAGAATAGTAAATAATGTAATAGATGAACGTGCCCCTAAAATGGGGTAAATGTCCCTATTTATAGGGCATTGGGAATGGTGCCCTTACGTAGGTCACTCAAACCTAGTTTTGGTGGGCTGCGCCATTTTAAGGCGCCTCAGGAAACGGGCGTTGAAGGCCGCCATTTTCTTTACTATCTGCACGCCACATCTCATGACCTGGTAGGTCCATTTTGGACTCTTCTTAGGGTGACACGTGTCACGTTCTAATTGGTCCACGTGGCTGGGGTAAAAATACCCAAATCATTTGCCCCTCACAGGGGTGACGTGGTGCGCCATGTGGCGCCTATGACATTTGTCACACATGCAATGGTGACAAGTATTCTAACTGTTCACCTTGTGGAGTAAATTTCGGAATTGCCCCCGAGATTTTACCCCTCTATAAATAGTTTTTTACCCCCTCTCATTTTCCCACGTTTACGAAAATCTTTGAGAGAGAATTTGACTTTTGAGAGAAAAATACCTATTGTTTGTACTTTGTCCGCCTACATCGCAGCCGTCTCAAGCTTTCAAACAAATCGACGGACCTTCATTTCAAAGGTAACTGCCTGTTTTTCTCTCTCTTTTCTCTTTATTTACCGCCCATGCTTGTTTTTCTTTGCTTTTGAAAATGATTTCATAAGCACACACGACACGGCCTAGGAAAGCGGTCAGCCGGTCACCTGGGACGGCTTAGTCTAGGACTAGGAGTACCGGATGCCCCTTCTCGGACTCCCACTTGCAAACATCCCCGAATCCGACCGTTTATGTGTCTGTGCAGGACATTATGGTCAGAACGAAGAGAATGGCCAGAGAGAAAAATGAGGACGGCTCCTTTAGAGTGCCAGTTAGTGAGGTCTTTGACCATCCGCCCAGCTGTATAAGTACACCAGGCGACTTAATTTTAAGAGAGTCGGGGGAGGAGTCGGGGAGCAGTACCTCTGGCTCTGTCCATAGGTTTCCCCATTCAAATGATAGGTCAGGCGGCTCTGAAGCTAGATCAAGGCCGTCTTCATGAAATGAGGAGTCTGAAGGCTCTGCAGCAGAGTCTTCGCCACCTACTAAGGAAAGAGCGGCTCCCTCCATGGAGAGGGGTGAATGAGAGGCTTCTTCCTCTCACCAGGAGAAATTTGCCGCCTATAATCATCATATTACGGCTAGCAAACAAACGTCCATGCTCGAGAATCTAGATGATTTTAGAACCACCCATGTCATGGGGGCTGGATATGAAATCCACGTCCCCGACTTGGAAGACACCGTCGTCTGGCCACCTAGGTCAAGCTACGGGGACCATTGTTTTGGCTGCTATGAAGCAGCCATCCACGCTGGTTTAACGTTCCCTCTTCACCCGTCGGTGGAGAAATTTTGGATGGATACCGCCTGGGTGTCTTGCAACTTGCCCCAAACTCTTGGGTTAATATCCTAAGGTACGTTGTCGTATGCGAAATGCTCAAGATTGAGCCAAGCTTTAAGGCATTTGCAAAAATGCACTATCTGAGCCGGACCCCCAAAACAAGCGGCTCCGGATGGTATACCTTAACAAGTCATAAAGGGTACATGATGGCTGTTGGAAAGGAGTCCAAGTGAAAGGATTGGAGGAATAAGTTTTTCATCATCTCCTCACCCGACACTGAGAGATAAGAAGTTCAACTCCTGGAACCGAGACCCCTATCTTCTAGGCTAAAAGACAATCTTGCCGCCTGTTCCTGAGAAAGGCTGGGACCAAATTCTTGAGCCGGGTTTTTTCAAGGTCACCATCCGGCCTATGGAGGGGAAGAAAGGAAAAGAAATAATCCCCCACAGATACATTCCCAACTTTGAATGGCTGGCTGATGGTACCTACTTGGTTGCTTGCGGCCTTAGTACCGAGAAGCCTAGAGGTAGATGGTCGAATGGGTTTTTAACTTTGCAAATATACTTTTTTTTTGTCATGACATCCGGCCTCTTTTCTTGTTTTTTGTTACTAACATCCGGCTTGTGTTGCGCAGCCGAAGCAATGGAGCACCTCTCTTCCTCTAAGAAGCATGCTGCCGCCTACTACCGCCAAATAAACAAGCGAAAGGCGGATGAGTTTAAGAAGGACCAGCTGGCCCACGTAAGAATGTCTCTTATGTTCATTCTTAGTATAAATTGCTCAATCCGCCTGCTACTAACATACTTGGGTTGTTTTTTGCAGGAGGACCTAAACAAGCCGCCAGTGCTCCATTAACCAAGTCAAAAGCTACAAAAGTAGTCGGCTGACGATTTCAAAACTCCTGGAAAGTCCAGGAAGCACGTGGCACATAAGCCCCGTGCGTCTGCCTAGACGAGGAACGAATCTCATCCCTCTACTGGAAGCAAGTCTCCCGCCTCCCTGGAAGCATTGAAGAAGTCGGACGCCCAGAAGGTGACGGAGGGTGGCCAGCCATCCACCGCTGCTATTGGCTCAGCAGCAATAGGCGGGAACAGACGCCCCATATAGAAGGAGATGGTTGTTCCCTAAGGTATCTTAGCGTTTAATCCCTTTCCTTACCCTTGTACGGTTAAGTCATATCAACAGACGGTTAGTAGCTCAGGCGGCTCTCGGTCTGTTGGTCGAGATTATGTCATCTACTTACAGGATGTTGATTGTGCAGATGTCAGCCAAAGGCCGGGTATTCATCAGTTCGCAAAAAACATGCTCAAGGCCGTCTCCCCCGCTGAGAGGGACTCTATTCGAAGGGTCGGGACCCTCAACTTCGACGCCATATTGGCTCTGCTGGCTAAGGTATTCTGGCTTTGAGCTTGTGATTTTATCTAACTCTTTTGTGTCGTCTGTTATTAACAAAGTGCCCTTGCCGGATGCAGGCGATGCTGCGGGTGAATGGGCTCAAGAAGCCATTCTCGGACAAACAGAAAGAGGTAAAGGCTGCCAACGACTGGGCCGCCTCTTCCACTAATAGAGCCATGTTGATATTTTAACAAATGAAGCAATAACCCGTGATATCCTGTATTCTTAGGCAACGACCAATCTGCAAGTCAAGGCCAATTTGTAGGCGTCCCAGAAGAGGGTGGTTGAGCTGGAGGGCGAGCTTAAAACGTTCAAGTCCAAACTCAAGCCACTGGAGGATGCTGACGCTAAGGCTGAAGGGCTTTTCAATCGATGCGCAGCTTGAAGCACAAGTTGGCCGACCAGGAGGAACAGCTTTGGAAAAAATACAAGTCCAGGGCCGAGGAGGAGAAGGCGAAGCTGGTGGCTAAGATGGAGTCGACTGTGAAACCCGCATGCAGATGGCCTAGAAGTCGCTCTTTCCAGAGAATGACTATGATGGGTGGAAATGTCAGTATGATGCGGCCAGTAAAGACCTCAACGCCAAACAGCAGGAAGGGTTGGAAGAAGAAGAGGAGGCGTCCAATTCCTCGGATGAGAAAGAGCCTGGGCTTCAGTTAGATCAGGAGAAGAAGCAGGGGGATGAAATGGATGTGCAGTCGACTGGGGGCAGTGAGGTGGCGACTGCCAACAATAAGGAGCTCCCTCCTGATAATTAAGCTTTATTGTTTCTTTCTTTGGCCAAATGGCCTAACACTATGCTTTTCCGGCCTGCGTGATGTATTTTTACCGATTGTGGAGTCGGGTTACTCAACAATTTTATTATCTTATTCTGCCGGTTGTTGCGCCGGTTAATAATTTCAACTTTTAATTAGTTAGTCCTTGAAATTTTCTCTATGCATGAATTTGACTAAGTATATACCCTTCTTTGTTCTATGCATACAGTTTTTTTGTTACATCGGATGTTTTTGCCCCTGGACAGCTGTGCGCTTGGTTTCAAAAAATAGGTTGATAGACTTAGAAAGTTTTGATACTTGAAAGAGTATGACTAATTTCCAATTCAATCAATCACTATGATGTTTTCCCCAAACCAAGCGGTTAGTCGTCCATCGAGAAAACGGGTAAAATTTAGATTCCAGACATCCATTGACCATATTCAGTCGTTGGGACAAAATTAAGGTCGCCTCCGCTTTTTTCGAGCAAGCGGCGTGGTCCCATTTGCCCATATTTTCCAGGCTCACTTAGAATGAGTTGTTCTCTCATTGAGAAGAGCAGACGGTCTGGTAGGTCGTCTGGGAGGTAGGTCAGTATACTTGTTTAAGCAAATTTGACCCATTCATGCGGACGCTTCCTTTTCCATAGGGAAGGCTGCGTTTATGAGCCGTCTGTGTTGCAGGGCAATTGTAGACGTTCATGTGGTTAAGTTTAACCCCTTAAAAAAAATTTAATCTAAGGTGTCCTATGGCCGGTTTCCGTCTGTATTCCCATAGGGCAGATGATTGGTTAAACCGTGATGATCATCCGTTAGATTTGCGAGAACAAACGGCTACGAGCTTCATTGAAGCAGTCGGTTGGGCCATTTGTGTTATGAGTTTATAGAGCAATGTACCACCCGAATGGGAGATGCTCTCTGTAAGCGAATTCACCTGGATGGGCGTCGCCGAATGTCTCACCCTATTAGAGTGGACGGTTGGTTTAGATTTCACCGTATGCACATTGCACATGCAGTGCTCCCATAGGGTGGCATATTTAATGATATGATTGCAAAATGAATAAATTGAAATAAAAAGCATCTTTCATTAATAAGCCTTTCTTTTACAAAAATTTTACAAGTCTTAGAAGTAATACTTTTTCAAGTTGTCTACATTCCAAGTTCTGGCTAGCTTCCTACCGTCTGGTGTTTCCAAGCGGTAGATGCCGCCTCTTACTTCTTCATAGATCCGGTAGGGACCTTCCCAGGCCAATTGGGTGTCAAATTGCCTTGCTCATTGGCCTTACCGGTAGCTTCCATTTTGCGTAGCACAAAGTCCCCCACTTTCAAGGGCCGTTTGTGCACTCTCTTGTTGTAGGCTCTTGTCATTCTCAGACGGTAAATCCCATGGAGTAAGGCGGCATTGCCTTGGCATTCTGGGAGAGAGTCCAATG